AAAGCCCCAAAGTGGACTGGTGGGAAGCAATGTTCCCTCTAAGCTGTGGGGCCTTGTGAGCAAAAATTCTACTTTGTGAGCTACTGGCATTAGAGTTGTGAGCAGGTGATTTGGCTATTGCGTAATCAGTTTGCTCTGGAGCCATCCTTCCTGAGCCAAGACAAAAATGTGTGAGCTGGAGGCTAAAAAACTGTGAGCCAGCTCACACTAACTCAGCTTAGAGGGAACATTGGTGGGAAGGCTTCTCCCCATGGGCTCAGTTGTATCGGGCTCCCTTGTGTAGCTCCTTTAAATGGGGCTGCACAAGAGAGCCTGATGCTTGGCTGGCAGGGATGTTTCTCAATGCCGATCAGCTGTTGGTTTAAATGGTTCTGAGTCATTTAAACTCTGCTTTCTGCACCCTGTGAAAAGCCATGGGGGGCAGAAAGAAGCAATGGTTTAAATGGCTCCAAACAGCTGTAAGGCAGGATGCTCCCAGCCTCTCAGCTGTCTGTTTAAATGGCTCCGAGCCATTTACACCCCGCTTCCTGCTCCCCGTGAAAAGCTGCAGGGAGAAGAAAGCAGCGGTGGTTTAAATGGCTCCACTCAAATGTTTCTCATGAAGAGCCATGAGCCACCATTAATTGTGGCAAAATTTGTGGAAGTTTGTTGTGGTTTTTCAGTTCATGAAAATAAATATATTTTTTTACGTTAAGTTTAGTTTATGAACCATGAACCACCCAAAATTTGTTACGAACTTTAGTTTGTCAGCTGGTTTGTGCCCATATTCAGATCCACTACATTAAAAATGACAAGATGGAGCAGTAAATATATGATTACAAGGCTCAGTCAGAGCTTTGCCCTAGATACTCAGATGAATAGATCACTACTCTCTTAATATATTTTTTTAAGTTAAATAAGGTGACTGACTAGCTGGGCGTGTGCACATTTTCCCTTAACCCAGTTATGTATAACATCTAAATGCAGCTTCGGTATAGTTTTGTTACTTTTGTTACTTTGAAAATTATGTGTAACTTGTGTGTTGGCCCTATTTCTTTAAATCAGGCTAGTCTCATAAACAGCACAAGAGATTGTAAATTTATAATTTTCTAGGTTATGGTACTTCAGACTACAACAAAAGTGTTTTCCACATTGGTGCTGCATGGTTACATCAGGGTTTTTTAAAATCAGCAATTAAATATATTGATATAATACAATAACAATCTGTGTAACAGGTTTTCTGAACTACCAGCTTTCATTTTTTTTAAAGTAAGCTGCTCCTGTTGCAGCAGAGAAATGCCTTTCTCCTTATATTTCTGCAATGAAGGGTGCTTGAGACTTAGGGTGATTTCCCACAAGCGCTGCTTCATGCTCACTCCTCCCTTTTGTCCTGATGGTACATGTCAATTTCACACAAGCTGCTGCGTGGCCGCATTTTCCCCAGAAGCTTCGCCGATTTCCCCCGCGTCTACTCAATCCTCAAAAAACAGGATTGAGTAGACGCGGGGAAAATTGTGTGAAGCTGCAGGGCAAAATGCGGCCACGCAGCAGCTTGTGTGAAATTGACATGTACCATCAGGACAAAAGGGAGGAGTGAGCATGAAGCAGTGCTTTTGGGAAATCACCCTTACTTTTTGTTTTTAAATGAAAGCTGGAAATTTAAAGAACCAGTGACATGCATTCATACTGTTACATTGATAAAACAATATTCCATCACTGATTTTGTTTTTAAAAAGACCCCTGGTGGCAAAGGCAAGAAATGGTTGCTGTGGAAAAATGGCTGTCCTGTGGGCAGGAATGGGCAGCCATTCAGGCTTTGCAACAATCTTTCCTGAAACTTTATAGCAAAGTAGGTTTGTGAGAGATTGGGGGAAATCTTGGGAAGTTCATGAATGCAACATAATACTGTGTGTAAGCAGGAAAAAAACCCCACTTCCTAATGGCACTGAACATGGGGTAACTAACCCATGTGGAAGGGGGGACTCACATGACTGAATATTGTGCTTTACAAAAAAATCTTCCATGAACATAGAAAACTGGCATGTTAGGGAGAAAGCTAAACAAATTTTGTTCCCCCCCCCTGAGAATTCGGCCATAGTTGCTTTCAGCTGATCAGTGAAGTCAATGTAATAATGCCATTTGTTTATATCTATTGCAGAATATATGGAAGAGGCCTCAAGCAGCAGAAGCTAATGGACTTTCTTGCTTGCAATGCACAACAGCATTTCTTAGAACAATGTTTTCAGTTTGAAGATGCATGCTACTAAGTTTTGTATAGGCATGCTGGTATCCTATTTTGTACTGGAGAACTATGGGTTTCCTTTTCAGTTATACTTGTTCCTGTTGTATCTTAAACATAAATATTATATTATTCTTTATGGATTTATTGTTGAGTTTATTGCCTTACTAACTTTAAAATCCCCACAAAAAGTTAGCCCTGGTTAAGTTTCAGTCAGCTATAGAACTTAGGTACACATGACTTTTTAAAAACTGTAGCAATTTCTTCTAAAACAGTTTGCCTCAATCCTAGAAAAAGTTAGTCCTGCTTAAGTCTCATTCATCAGTCTGAAGAGACTTATTGTGGTGCAGAGGTTAGAATCTTGGGGTAGAGCTAGATGTGGGTTTAAATCTCTACCTAGCCATGAAAGTCACTGGGTAACTTTGAGGCCAGTTCATCACCCTCTGCTTAGTCTGCCTAACATATTGGTAAAATGGTAGTGACCTCCCTAGAGGAAGAGTGCAGTGAATCTAGCAGTGAAGCACATCTAGATTTTTTTTCTGGATTATGTGTGCCTGCTTATCTCATTCTTTTGAATGATGTCCTGATTTTTAAAATTATGCTTCTGATTATTTGATTTAAAGTGTTTTGAATGTATATTTTAATTTGAATGTGTTAAATTGAAGTTGTTTTTACTACTTGATTGAAATGGTATTTGTTTTTATAATTATTTACATAAATTTATATATTTACATTTTGGCTAATTATAGTATTTTCATGTATTTTCTATTACATTATGCATATTTTATAGCCAATATTTATACACTGTACTTTTTTGTTGAATCTGTTATGTTAATTTTAAAAAAATCAATGGAAAATGTCCTGATTAGAAATTAACATTTCAGCATTCCTCTGCATGGAATGCATGCATGCACATGCCCCCCTCAACACTCTGTTCCATGTTACCATCACCAATTTTAGTGCCTATGTCTTCTCCTGCTGCATCATTTTGGACTTTGGGATTTGATTGCACCTGCTACAATACTTTTTTTTTTTTTTACAATACTTCCTTTTAAAATCTTCATGTGCCTCATCCCAGACTATGCCTGCTCAGCCCCTTAGCTACCTTAGCCAAGGTTTCAAGGCTTACTGGGGATCCATGGCCTTTTCACACAGATGTCATAGGGTATCCACACTGTCCATATTCAACTTTCACAATCATCTTGTATAATCAGTCCTTTTACCTCACAGGAATACCTATCAAGCTGTTTTCTCCTATCAAGATATATTTTCATGTGACAATTTAGCAGAATACACAAGCCTGACAGAAAACAGTTCCTGCCTCATTGATAAATTACAGTATTTAGACCAAGCAAATAAACAGGCTGCTATTCTATTAACCCTGTAAGTGTCAGCTGATGATTAGGACATGAGTTGTTGAAGCAGATGACTACATTGCACTCTTTGTACTTGATAGGGCCACTGTCGTTGATGCTCCTGTCTTTAAAGTTGCTGCTAGTCTAGACTTCTTTGGAAGTAGAAGGGGTGGTGCCATTAAAGGCATCTGTGCATTGACATGGGCATGCCTTGGCGCAGTTCCCTTCTTCCCAAGGTACAGATACATCCTGCAGAGTTTATCCACTGCATACTGGGAAAAATACAAATAAATATGATCTTTCTTATTGGTGGAGGAGGGATGCAGCTTTGCTCCATATGGCAGTCTCATCTCTGCAGAGGGAGTGGAGCAAAGGTTGCTGGTGGCACTTCTAGGCTGAAGTGCCAGAACAAATTGTGGCACTGCAAGGGTAAGTCAACACATAGGCTGGCATTGGTCCTTTCAGCTCGCTCCCACTGGATGTACACATTTTAGATAGATGTGCAGCTCCCTAGCTATTGCTACTGGTGGTGTGTCAATAGTGGAGCCTTCTTCCATCTTGACGGAGACCTATGTCTTCTCCTGCTGCATCATTTTGGACTTTGGGATCTCACTGCACCTGCTACAGCTGCAGAGGAATTTAGAAGATTCTGTCAGCTCCTAGGAAGTCTGAGATTCCTGCAGCATTAATGTCATCTTGTGTTCCATGTTCAGGCTACAATCCTAATGATAATTTCCTGGAAATTGGCCCCACTGAATATCCAAGAAGAAAAGAAGCACTCAGATAATGAGTAGGGGCAACAGCATCACATGCTTCCCCCCTCTTTTTTTTTAAAAAAGACACATGAAAGTTAATTTTAATTGTTAAAATGTTTGGATGGGTGGGAGGTGTGCTAACTAGACAAAGGGATGTTTGGAGAAATATCAGCAGGGGCTCTTTGGGTGCATCCACACTAATGGCCCTGATTGAATCTAATTGCAGATTTATTTATTTTTTAAGTTTGGTGGTAAACAAAAGACCATTTATTGCAATATCACAAGATTTATTTATTCATATGAGAAGCTCATGCTTGTATGGTTCATAAATAAGATTTCAATGGTATACTAATATGATTAGTTTATTCAAGCAGCATGATATAGTTATCTGAATTACATATTTGTTTTAAACAGTTCAGGTGAAATGTCACAGCAGTCATCAAGAGGGAATGGTATTAACAATGAACAATTTCTGTGCATACATGTAAATTAAACTGCTTTTGAGAGTTTGTTCTGCTGAATGCAGATTGAGCATGCACAGAGACCTGTTTACACTGAGTTCAAGCTATTTCCTTTATTCATTAATATCTCATTGTTTAGTTAAATCAGTAACTCTGTTGTAAAGAGTTAAAAGACTATATGAAATTTCAGATTACCTTTACTGTTTTCCAGACAGAAAAAGGGAGTGCACTGCATGAAGCTGCTTTGTTTGGAAAGGTGGATGTGGTACGCATTCTGCTAGAAAGAGGTAAATCATAATTATCTGTGTGCGACTTAGACATTCTTAATTTTGAAAAGTTCTATTTAATCTTTAAGGAATTTGGTTGTTGTTGCTTATGTAAAAACTAAATTGATTTGATTTAGAACCCACTTGTCTTTTTGTCAGTTCATGGTATCTGTAAAACTCTCCTTGCAACACTACATTTCAAAGGAATCAGTTCAATACTTCCAAAAAAAAAAAAGAAACCTGGGAATTCAGAGAACCTGATACACATCTTGTTGCAATGGTATAGTAATACAATAACATTCTAATGATGATTTTAAAAAAAATAAAAGCTGCCCCCCAGGGAGGAAATGGTTAACATGGAGACACTGTCAGGGAAAATGCTGACATGAGTTGGAAAAATCTGAATTTTCCCATCCACACAGCAGCCATTCAAGCTTTACTGTGATCTTTCCCCAGATTTTGAACTGCGGTAAGTTTGAGAAAGATCAGACAAAAGCAAGGGGAGCCCAAGGAGGTGCATGAATGCATCATGATACTGTGAGGAAGCAGTGGGGGAAAACAGCTTCCAGACAGCCTTCAGAGCATGGTGGGGGCTGCTGGTGGGGGGGAGATGGAAAGCTGATCAATGAGGGGGAAATGTAGGTTGATGCTTGGTTGGGAAGTAGATAGGGTTGCCAACTCCAGATGGGAAAATCCTGGAGATTTGAGAGATGGAGCCTGGAGAGGATGAGGTTTGAGGAGTGCGGCCTCAGAGAGGTACAATGCCATAGACACTGCCCTCCAAACCAGCCATTCCGTAATGGGGAACCACTGTTGCCAATCTCCAGGTGGGGGCTGGAGATCACTCAGAATTACAACTGCTCTCCAGATTGCCTTGATCCATTCCCCTGGAGAAAACGGTGGACCCTGTGTTCTTATACCCTGTTGAGGTTGCCATGGCAACTTGATTCTGAGTGCCCATGGCCTTGGCACTCTCCCAGAGCCTCTTTCTAGCACTCATTGTATTTATTTCCACAATGGGCCTTATTCCTAGTCTATTCATATTGCTTTTGTCATAACTTTATTTTTATTTACTTCATTAATGGTCTCTCTTTCTCACAGAATCTAAAGGTGGACTACAACAATGGTTTTTATCCCCTATTGGAACTAAGCTTAAGTGTGTGAGTGTAGAATAGGGATGGGCATGAACCGGAAAAATTAAGTTAGGTTTGTGGTTTGTGGCATACCTGGTTTGTGCACCACAAACTGTCAGGAACATTTGGCTCATGAGGTTCATGAATGGGTAAAATGCCCCCCAGTGTGCTAGAGATACCATACTCACAAGGAATCTCCAGCTGTCTCTTTTCTATCGGCCCTCCAAATTTGATGAGGATTGGATTTATGGGTTGCAAGATACAACCCCTCCAAAGAAGGTGCCCCAAGAAAGTGCCTTCTGGGGTAATTACAGGCACAGGTGCAGGAGGCTCAGGAGTGTATAAAATGGACCCTGTGCATGCTAGATCTCCAGCTGACTCTCCTCTACCTGCCTTTCCTCTAATCTTCTTTCCCCCCCCCCCTCTAATCTTCAATGTGGTCTCTGTGCTTCACACCCATGGGATCTAGTGCACACGCGCTGGATTGATCAGTGCTGTAGCAAGCTCTTTTAACGGATTTTCGCACCCAGTCCCCCGGGCATGCGCAGGAACCCCACCGCTCATGCCCAGAGGGGTGGGCGCGGATATCCCGCCAGTTCCTTTCTTACCACCACGTTGACTAGACCTCTTCTTCGTCGGTCTGATCGGTTCGCTGTTAGCTCACCTCACAGCTCTTAGGAATTATTTCCAAACTTTCTCTTACTTTATTTTTTGTTTGTTTCTTTTTAAAAACAGTTCAAATTTTTTTTTTGCTTTCAGTTGAGGGGGAGTTTACCTCAGGCCTTCAGGCTACCACCCCCTCAAACGTTCCCTCTTCTTTTCTTTTATGGAGAAGAAGTGGGGATTTTTTAATAGGTGCAAGGGTTGCGGTAGCAAACTTACTCCTCCCGACCGTCATACCCTCTGCATTTTTTGCCTTGGAGAGTCTCACCAGCCAGAGTCCTGTTGCCACTGTGCACGTTTCTCCAACCAAACAAGAAAAAAACGTGCTGCGCGCCTTAAAGTGGCGCTGCTTGAATCGGCCCTTGCTCCTGCCTCAGCGATGGAGGAGAGACCGTCTACATCGACAGCTCCGGCATCAAGACCTGCCTCCGATGTCGACCGCCCGAGACCAAAGCTCTCGATATTGAAAGCACAATCGTCCGCTTCCACGCCAGTCAAAAAGAAGGCTAAGGCAAGTAAGGATCACAAGTCCGCTAAGAAGGGCAC